AGCTTCTTCTTGGCCTCCCTGTGCAGCATTCCTTCCTGCAAGGTATGGGGCAGGAGTGTCTTATGACCTACAATCAGAAAGGCTAGGAAAGATTAGAGTCCTGCCTTGGGCAGGTGAAGGGAAGTCAGAAGAAGGTGAGAGAGAGAAAAGCCTCCTTCTGAGGCCTACAGTGCCCCAACATTATAGCCAAATGCTGTAGCAAGGGCTATGGGAGTTATGAGCCTGGAACCATGGATGAAAAAATATATATATATGGAAAATATCATACCTCTTAATTAGTCTCTTTCTTTGCTTTGCTTCTCCAAACTATAAGAGCCAGAGTGACTGTTAAAATATAGAGTTGAGATCATGTCTCTCCTCTGTTCAAAACTCTCAATGGCTTCCCATGTCATACAAAGCCAACATCTTTACCATGGCCTGGAGGACGCTATGTGACCTAGATCCTTGTTTTCTGACCTTATCTCTCAGGAACTCTGCAACAGCCATACTGGCCTCCTTGCAGTCCTGAAATGTTTCAGGAGAATGCCTATTTCAGGGCCTTGGCACCTGCCTTTCCTTCTACCCCTGATGATCCTCCTCCAAATATGAGCATGATTTGCTCCTCCTCTTCTTTCAACTTTTCTACTTAAATGTCACTTTCTTAGGAAGCTTTTCCTTAGCTCTTTAAAAAAAAAATTAACACTGCTCCTCTCTCCTCTGCCCTGCCATCACTTCTCATCCTTCTTCTCCAGCTTATTTTATCTCCTTAGTACCCACACTTACTTATCATAGTTGACATTTTACATATTTGAATCTATTCTGAGATTTTGCTTTGTGTTCCTTGCAAATTCTCTTTCTGTACCCTGTTTTCAATAACTATATCCCTGTTCCCTGCCTTGGCCAGTGTCTCTAGCCCACATCTGAAATGTCAAGTTGCTGGATTTTAGAGACAGTCTTGGCCCATTCAATTTCTGCCCCTGCATTTCAGTTTTTGTTGATGGAAAAACTGAGCTGCAGGGGCAGGAAGAATTTTGTTCAAGGTCATATTGTATAGTAAGTACATTCATGAATTTATTCAACATATACTAGGTGCCAGGCATTTTACTAGGCACTGGACAGAGAGGAGTGAATAATATACAGTTCCTCTAGTCTTGAGGATGTCACAGTAAAAGTGAAGTATTTCTGTATACAGACAATTATAAGACTGGATACAAAAAATCAGTGATAGAGAGACGGTCAGGATGGTCAGAAGAGGGAACTGAACTACCGTGAAGAAGGCGAGAAAAGCACAGAGACAGAATCAGGACTGGAGTTTTGCGTCACTTAAATTTTGCAGCTTTTACAATCATTCATTCATTCAACCTAAGTGTATTGGATGTCTACCATGTTTAAACTATTGTGCCTCCCTTTGAAGACGCAAGTTATCTGATACCTTACAAAAGCTCTTTGGTAAGATATTTGGTATCTTAAAGACTGAATAAGGTCATGAGCTTCTAAGGTTGGCCAGCAAATTTCTGTCCTCAAGTCCCTGACCAGTTAAGCCAACCAATTTCAAAGCAATGGAAATTTGTTTCACAGTTTCTTCTTTCTCCCTCAGGGGACCCAGCAAGTAAGATTACTGTTGTGCAAACTGGCTGTGATTTGGAGCTACAAGATTAAAGGCTCATGTGGTCAAGACTGGCACACATTTCAGAAAGCCCCAATGTCCTTGGAATGGATAAGTCACATTTATTCTTACACAAGTCAATCAGCCAACCAGCCCCAGGTAGAGGTAGCAGGTGGTGGAGGCTTTAATCTTTCAGGACACAACTTTACCCTTTCATGGTTACTTAATCAGATTAAGTCCTGCTTAAAGATATATTCTGGAAGAAATTGATGGTCAGAGTGGACTGAGGATACAGGGTCCAGGATCCACCCTAGCAGGGGGTTTGTATGTCACATCTCGTCTCCAGCTACTTTGGTAACGGAGGCAGAGGCAAAATACCATAAACTCTGCAGGTCATTGATCTCTCCTTTGTGGGCCTGTGCAGGGTCCCTGGAAGACCGCTTTTTGTTTTCCTATAAGGAGGGAGTGGTGATACAGTGGAGTGGCTTTTAAACATGCATCCAACACATGTAAGAGCATTTGCATCTCATTTTCCTCTCCACTCCTCCCTCTGTATTTCAAGGAAATGCTACCTACAGGCTTAGTAAGGTGGGGATTAAGAATTAATCATCGGATTTAGCAATTTGGTCATAGGTGACCTTGACAACAGGAGTTTCAGTGAAGTGGTGGGGGCAAAAACTGATTGGAATGGGCTCAAGAGATTACAGGCAACTCTTTTGAGGAGCATCAGTGGAGAGAGACTTGGAATATAGCTGGAGGAAGATAGGGGATTAAGAGTGATTTTTTTTTTTTTTTTTTTTTTTTTTTAAGATGGAAGAAATTACAGTGTACTTGTGTTGGCTGGAATGGCGCAGTAGAGACAAAAGCTGATGGTGCAGAAAGGAAGGGGGATATTGCTAGAGAGATGGCCTTGAACAAGAAAGGGGACAGGAACTTTTAGTGATATACTAGAGCTGGCTGTTCAACACAGCTATTGTTAAAGTACATAAATTTACAATCACATAAATTATATATAAAAATAAATAAATATTTATTTATTTGAGCTGGGTCTCACTCTGTGGCCCAGGCTGGAGTGCATGGCATGATCATAGTTCACTACAGCCTTGAACTCCTGGATTTAATAGATCCTCCAGCCTTAGCCTCTCAAGTAGCTAGGACTACACGTGTGCACCACCACACCTGGCTAATTTTTTATTTTTTGTAGAGATGGGGTTTCACTATGTTGCCCACACTGGTCTCAAACTCTTGGTCTCAAGTGATCCTTCTGTCTTGGCCTCCCAAAGTGCTGAGGTTACAGGCATGAACCATAGAAGCCTGGCCAAAAAAGTAACAAACATTGAAAACTCATCCTTTCCTACTACATTTTCCCATTACCAATGTTCCTGGTTCTTTATGGCTCTTGTATATGGGTGGTGGAAATACTATATAATGGTGTGATTCTGTGCTTCCCTCCCCAACTCCCACTCCTCCTAAACTTCATGTCGCTAAATCCCCAACTTGTGTTTAGTGACATCAACTTGGCATCTTTAAACATGGTAGGAGTATTTACAGCACAGGAATCAGCAACCTTTGGAAATCAGGGCCTTTAGTTTACATTTTAAAAGGGAGCTGTTTGTTACACATTTTTCAGCTCGCCTCAGGATTCAGTGGACAAATGGAGACACTGGTGCTAAACCAAAGTGCTGACAGTTCATCCACAGGAACAAGAGGGAAGGCAGGGCATTTGGACCGGCGGGTAGAGAGGTGGCAGAGCAAAATGACCTACTTACTAAGTGAAAATGGAAGTAAGGTAATGACTGGAGTATAAGACTGGCAACAAAGATGTCAGAGATGTGAGGTTAAAACAGTGTGGGAGAGTAAGTGGATTAGAAAAATTTAGTACTTTATTTTTCTTTTTTTCTTCTTCTTCCTTTTTTTTTTTTTGAGATGGTGTCTCGCTCTGTTGCCCAGGCTGGAGTACAGTGGCGCGATCTTGGCTCACTGTAGTCTCCACCTCTCAGGTTCAAGCAATTGAACCTCCCGAGTAGCTGGGATTACAGGTGCCCGCCACGATGCCCGGCTAATTTTTTTCTTTTTCTTTTTTTTTTTTGAGACAGTCTCACTTTGTTGCCAGGCGCCAGGCTGGAGTGCAGTGGCACGATCTCGGCTCACTGCAATCACTGCCTCCCGGGTTCAAGCCATTCTCCTGCCTCAGCCTCCTGAGTAGCTGGGACTACAGGCACACGCCACCATGCCCAGCTAATTTTTGTATTTTTAGTAGAGGCGGGGTTTCGCCATGTTGGCCAGGCTGGTCTCAAACTCCGGACCTCAGGTGATCCGCCCGTCTCAGCCCCCCAAAGTGCTGGGATTACAGGCATGAGTCATCGTGCCCGGGCAGAAATTCAGTTCTTTCAAATTGTATTTGTCTGTCACCATTCAAGGCTCCTTAGGGTTAGTGGTTATGAATTTAAACGATGCCCGTCACAGTGGGCGTGTATTTCCTCCAGCCCCTTCCGGCGGCTTGGGTAGAGGCAGTCAAAGGAGAGCTAGATTTTCACAAGGCTAGGGCTTTGGCAGACCAGTGTGACTGTGTATGGCACGGGCATATGGCAAAATCGTAAAAGTCATCACCTCAGAGACATTCCATAACCACCCTCGCTAAAATCATGTCCGCGTCCTTGTCCCTTTAACCGATTATTGTGTTTATTTTCCCAGCTTGTTGATTGGTTGTGAAATCAGCGGCTCATCAGCAGGGCCGGTGTTTCCCCCCCGCGGAATCCACAGCGCTGGCGCATTTGGAGGCCTCAGAACTGTGCTGAATAACTCTCTGAATACACGGATTAACGTGCTCGTTCGCCCAACATCTGTGCGTCGCGGTGAAGAAGAATACTCGGCAACGCTTCTCGTATCCTCTAGTTCCTCACTCCGTGGTGTTTCACCTTAGCGAGCAAAGGAACTTCCCTGCAGGGCGGGATGCGCCAAACCGCGGTTTTATTCCCGAGGCAATCTTTACTGTACCCGAGGCCCAACCCCAAGCCTCAGAGGCAGCTGCCCGGTGGCGCGAGTAATGCTGACCTTTGTCACACCAGACTTTCCTTATTAATACTTTTTTCCAGTGCTCCAACCACGACTTATTCTGTGACTCCAAGCAGTGATGCCACGAAAGCACAAGCCCAAGTTCCAGGTTTCACGGGGTGGGGCATGGTGCCTCCAGGGCAGAGAAGCTTCTCTCGGAAGGCGCGGCCGCGGGAGGGCAACTGGGCGGCTCTGGCGCCGCCAGCGGGGAGACCGTGGGGCCCTGGGTGGTCCGGGCGCGCTCCCGCGCTTCCAGCGTTTTGCCCCGCCCCCGCCCCGGCATTGGCGGAAGGGGCGTGGGCGTGGCCGACTGCGCGTTTCTTCGAGTGGCCAATAAAGTTTGGAAAGTTTGAAAGGCCGAGGAAAAGGCTACGCCCCTGTGGCTGTCCGAGTGTGGGCGCCTAGGGGCCTCGGCGGAGCCCGAGGCAGCCCTGCGCTCGCGGAGGCGTGGCCGGCGCGCGGGGCCCGGGGCGCGCGGGGATGGGGGTCACGGTGGACGTGCACCAGGTGTACAAGTACCCCTTCGAGCAGGTGGTCGCCAGCTTTCTCCGAAAGGTACCGCCCAGCTTCCACCCTCCGGATCTCCGCGCTGCCTCAGCTCTTTGCCGCCCTCCCCTCTCCTCCGTCCTAGCGGAAGCTCGCAAGCGCGTCTCTCCTTTCAGCCGCGGGCTTTGCTTCAGGGATGTGTGGGTCCAGGGGGATTTCCTCGAAGACTCCCCTTACAGGGAGCCGGAAAAGGCGCCGTGCTAGGCATCACGTTCACATCTGCCCCAGCTGAAAGGAGTGGCTTTCAGAAAGAGCCCCGTGGGGTTGCAGATGACCGACCTGTGGAGCTTTCCGGTTCATCACTAACCCCTTGAAGGCAGTGATGGCGAGGGGAGGCCGTTGGGCTCTCCTCCTGGTTTACTCAGCATGTTCGTTCTGCTGCCTCTCCACTTTCCCTTATTAAACAGCTGTGGGACTTGGTGCAGTTTGCTTACTCTCTCTCTGCTTTAGTCTGGTAAACTGTAAAATAGGGAAAATAGTATTACCGACTCATAGTGTTGTTGGGAGGATCCAAATGAGGTAATTCATGTAAAGCGCTTATCACAGCTGTCACCTAAATGAAGAAACTGAGGCAAAATCAATATAAGAAGAGAGTTTATTTGAGCCAAATTTGAGGACTGCATCCTGGGAGTGAAGGTGCTCTAAGTACACATTCTGATGAGTAGAAGTCAAAAGTGGGGTTTTAAAGGAAAATAAACGGTTCCTAAGTTGTTTACCAATAATTTATATTAAAATAACGTAAACTATTGATTGGCTGTACATTGCTCTTTGTATCACAAATTCGGAGAACTTGAAGATAATGGATAAGGCAGCTGGTTAGGAACAAAATGCCTTTAACTAGTTGCTCCCAGGAATGGGTTGGGTGAGGAGGGGATCACTAAAGTCCTATACTCTTGACTTTCTGGGCTTGATAGATTTTGCATATTTCACAGGGGCTCACACAGTCTGCCCTGAGCTATTTTTCTTTTTCTCACTGCTACTGATGTTTAGTTAGGGCCCTAAAATGTTATGTTGTTTGTATTACTACAACTGATTTCAGTACAAATAATGAGCTCTTCCTCAATATTGAGTGGCCCTGAATCCTAAAGACTGTTTCTAGGATTGTGGTTCATGATAATAGGAAAATGAGAAGCGGCTTTGAAAAATCAAAAGCGCCCAGGTCTGGGAGGTAGGACTCCTGTACTCTGCTCTGGTTCTGTCCATGGTTAGTTCTCTGGGTGACCTTGGCCAAGGGTCTTTTCTCTAGGTCTTAGTTTTCACGTCTAAGATGAAAGGGTTGTACCAGAATATGTTTTAAGGTCTCCTCATCTTTCACATTCTTAAGATTTGCAACAATTGCAATTTGTCTTGGTTAGCAGCCACTGGACATTGAACTCCATATGCCACCTGGAAGCCAAACTAAGGGGGATGCTGGGAAGATGAAGGTTATTTGTTCAATGATGAGGCATAGCCTCCATTAGAGGAGGTGACACGGTGGCCCTGGTCACAGAGGAGTGAGGAGGACATTGGTTAACATTTGTTAACCATTTGTTGCTATAGGGGTCTTTTTAGAAGGAATGTCAGGTTGCTGATATGTTCATTGATTTTCAGTATAGCTAGACTAGTGCCTAACACCTACTACTAGGTATTTAATACAAACCTGATCAATGAATAAATGAATGAAAGAATGATTTAGCAATCTGTTGTAGTCTTTGTCTTAGGCTAGGCTTCTGAGCCCAAAAAGTAACAGCTGACACCCAATTTTTTTTTTTTTTTTTGGGTTAGAACTGGCACTTGAGTGTGGGTACTCTTATACCACGGCTCCTTTGTAAAATCTTTTTGGATTGTCATCATCAAGAGTCGATCCATCTCCACCTTATCAGAACTTGCAGGGCACTTTACCTAGGCCTTGCTGACCTACTGCAGTGACCGATGATGACTTCTGTATGTGTTGTGTTCCCCTGTTAGAGTCTAAGGTTTTTAAAGGTGAGACTCACTCCTTCAGAAACACATAACACAATGCCAGGCTCTCATTTACGGAGGTCTCAGCACATTGTCAGCTTTTGGTAAATGCTTTTCTTTCATTGAACAGATACTTACCTTCTGTGTGCCAAGCTTTGTGCTAGGTGCTAGAAAAATGTAGGAGGGCACCACAGACCCTGTTCTCATGGAGCCGATGGTGTGTAGTGGGTGAGATTAACGTAAATAAATGATGAGCAAATGAACATAAAATTCAAATGGATGATGTGTATTTACAAAAGGAAAATACATAGTGCTTGAATATAGCAGGGAGGCCTGCTGAAGTCAGAGAGGGTGATCTTTAGGAAAGGGTTCCCTGAAGAAGTGGCACTTGTGAAATGATGGCTGAAGCACGAATAGGAGTTTCCTAGGAAGGCTGGATGTGTGGTGTGTGGTGTGGTGTGGTGTGTGTGTATGTGCGCTCATCTGTACCTTCCATACTTTGTCATGTTTACTGCTCCCAGCAGCCTCAGGAAGTAGTTATGATTAATTTCCATTTTATAGTATGGAGAAACTGAGGACCAGAGAAGTCCAAGTGCCGTCCTCAAGTTCCCATAGCTAGCAGTTAGGAGAGCCAAGATTTTAACACATGGATCCAAAACCCACACCGTTAGCCACCAGGCTGTGCTGCATTGCATATAATAGGCACTCGGATGATTATTGAGGGAATACAGTGTTTCAGAATCAACTTTGCTGGCCAGGCACAGTGGCTCATGCCTGTAATTCCAGCACTTTGGGTGGCCAAGGACTGGTGGATCACTTGAGGTCAGGCATTCGAGACCAGCCTGGCCAACATGGTAAAACACCATCTCTACCAAAAATACAAAAATTAGCCAGGTGTGGTGTCCTATGCCTGTAATCCCAGCTACTCAGGAGGCTAAGATGAAAATCTCCTGAACCCAGGAGGTGGAGGTTGCAGTCAGCTGAGATAGATCATGCCATTGCACTCCAGCCTGGGTGACAGAGCAAGACTTTGTCTCAAAATCAAAACAAAACAAAAAAGCCCAAAAAACTTTGCTGCGCTCAATCTGTTTCCTTTTGTTCACAGTCTTCTCCCAGGGTTTGCTCAGTGAGTGGACCTATTGTTCCTGATATAAAGGTATAATTTGGACGTGTGTTAGGGTAAGAACATAGAAGGTTTAAGTTATCTATTGGTATGTAATAAACCACTCCAAAACTTCGTGACTTAAACCAAGGACAGGCTTTTAATTTTCATGATGCCGTGACAAGTGGTTGGTTTTTGTGTGCTGTGTGGTATAGCTGAGGTCACTTATGTAGCCGTAGTCAGTTAGAACCTGTTATAATTCTTATAAAATATTTAGCAAAGTACCTGGTACATAGTGAAAAGGAAGTTAAGAAGGACATTTTGGAAGGCAGAACTGGGAAAATGAGAGACAAACATTTGGAGACTAAATGTCTGCTGGTGGGATAATGTTAACATCATCCATGTCACTGTACTTCCTTTCTTTCTATTCATTCATAAAGGAATCCTTCAGAGATTCCTTGGAAGGAGCTATGTGACTATTTATAAGATGTCAATAAATCCATCCGCTGGGTGAATTTTCACCTTATGTTTTTCAGAGACATGAACTGGAAGTCAGTAGACCTGGATCCTGATCGTTGTGCTTTCACTGTTAGGTTGGATGGTCATGGGAAACAGTTTTCACCATCCTATACTGTGTCCTTGTGCAAATTAGAAAAGACACCTTTTAGGGGTCCACTCTGTAAGCTCATAGTTCATAGGGCTAGTGGAAAGCAAATGAGACCATTTATGCAAATTAGAAAAGTGTACTCCTTCCTCTAGGTGGATGCAGTCCTGTGCCCACGGGCCCACATGACCTGGAGCCCATGTACAGTGAGCAACATCACAACTGTGTAAGCCCTAGCGTCTCATCTGTGAAATGGTAATGCCACCTACCCCACCTACCTTCCAGGGTTGTTGTGAGGATATCAAATATGTTAACAGTTTGAAAAGTATAAGCTTTTTTATAAGCCTAAGGTAGTAAGAATTATCTTTTTGGCAAAATATGCTTTTATTTTTCTTTCAGTCTTTATAAATTTTTTTTTTTCAAAGGAAAGCACTTGGCAGAAGGGACAATGATATGAAGATCTCTGGGAAGCGTTTAATCTGATTTTGCACAATGGTATGTTTGAAGCTGCTTTAGCACTGAGGAAGTTCTATTTTAAATCAAATCTACTGATCTACGGCTTTGGTTATGTTAGGACTTGCCTTCCAAGTTATAATATATTACTGTTTTTAAAACCTGAAGAATGTTTGCTCTTCTTACATCTGCCTGTTGAATACCACAGGCAAAATATTAGCTGCATGCTTTCTAAGCTAAGTGACAGCGTGAAAACAAACAATATGATATTCTTTGTTCATGAAATATAGTATTTCTCAATAAACTCTTCATGGAGGAATGTTATGAAACCCAAAATGGTTTATTCGTTGGATGCTGAACTGTATGTACTTTCCAAGAGCTATAGCGTCAGTGCACTTGACAGTATATTTTGGTTTCTTTCTTCATGCGAATCTTAGCTTTCTAGCTCTCATCACTTACCACTGTTTCCTTCCTTTTACTTACAGTTATCTATAAAGAGAACAGAAAGTTGCATAGATGAATGTAGCAGTGTAGAAAATAGGTCGTCTCTGGAAGCTAACTTAGACCTTTTTAATGGGCTTGCCTTTCATGAGCTGGATTCAGAGAATTTCTTAAATTTCATCTGCCTGAAATTTAAAGTCATTAAAAAGGATCCAGAGGGCCATTGTATTGTCTGGCTCTTCTTGTTTATATCTAAATGAGGCCAGAGAAGTAAAGATTTTTCTTACCCTCAGAAGGTTGATTTTCTTTTTATGCTGTGGTCAAGAGAGTCATAGTGAATAGAGTATCACCTTCATGGGTGGTGATTTTTGTCATTCGTTCCTGATGTATCCCAAGTACCCAAAGAGATCCTGGAACATAGTAGGTACTCAGCAAATCCTTGTTGAATGGTTGAATGAAATAACTTTT